GTCCACCCTGACTACATGCACCAACTGGACTACTTCGGAGTTTGAAAGGTAATCAGGGATGGAAAGACAGTGAGTGTGCCGCTCAATTGGATTCCTCTGGCCGTGTGGCTTAGGAACCCAGTTTTCATGTCGGCTTGTGGCCTGTACCAGAACTACCCTCAAGGTGGAACCTAGTGACTTAGCCGTTCAAATGCTATTTGTAACATAAAAATATTCTAACATTTTTTCCTCTTTTTTCTTCCTCAGACGTAGCTCTTGGAATGCTGGATCCGGAGCAGAAGGGGGAGGTTGACATGTTCGAGTTGGACTTAGTACGGTACAACCTCCGCCAACAGTAGCACGACCAGGCTAAGGAGGTGCTGACAATCCGTTCTTTTTTTTTTTGTTTTTTTTTTGTGCCGAGCTGGTGTGTTGGAGGAAGAGTCCTTCCCCATTTCACTCAGACACAATTCAACTTGTTTTGAGGCCGAGTTGATATGTTAGGAAAGATATGCTATCTAATTTCACTCAGGCGCTGTCTTTTGTCTTTGTTTGTCGAGTTGATTGGTTGGGAAGGTGTTCCTTCTCAACTTTACTCGGACACTTGTTCCTTTCATCTGACTTTATCCTGTTTCTTTCAGGCAGCCACTCCTACTCCCCGGTCAAAGAGAAAGCAGCCGACTTCTGCTTCCAAGGACGGTTACTCGTCCAAAGCCAGGAAGACAACAACCTCAAGGGCTAATTTTTCCACCAAAGCGGCCAAGGTCACGCTGCAGACTGCTTCAAAGCAGTCTGAAGGAGAGCCACCCCAGCTGTCACCTAGTGGGGTCTCCAAGCCCGTGGATCCGCAAACTGAGGCGGTCCACGATGAGTCCGTCCATGCAGACGATGAGGGTAAGTCGTCCCCGACAAAAACGACCGGCAACTCGGCCTCGCCTCCGCATGTTGAGGTAGTAGATAAATCTGAGTGGCAGAAAGCTGCTTCTCAGTCGGCCGAAGGACAACGCGGGCGCACACAAGAGGAAGGGGATGAGCCAATGCCCCCCCTTCGTTCAACCTTCCATCTCCTCCATCTTTCTCGGACGGTAAGCCGAATTTTCGTACGACTGTGGACTTGTGTTTTTAAGAAGTTGCTTGTTCACTCTAACACTTTTCTTGGTTTTGTGCAGACATTGCCGAGGAGATGCACATGAAGCTACCCGGCCAGTCGCTCACAGGCGCTGACCGGAAAGCTATTAGGGAGGCCATGCAACGGGCCATCCCTAAGGAGCAGCGGGACAAATTCCGTGGAATAGATGAGGGCTTCCTTAGCCCAATGATTAACTGCAGTGTCGAGGTCGGAAAAAAAAGTCAATGGCCGGAATTTGGTCAAAGGACCCTCGCCACAACCTAAGTGCAATAAAAGGACCTTTTGTGCCACCTTTTTTTTTATAAAGGGACCTTTACAACAAAAAGACCTACTTATTAAAAGGACCTTTCTAACAAATTTTGCTTAGTATTATATTGCTTGTATATGGATTAATGGATACACCAATGACCAAACTTGCGAAGTAAAATAGTGATGAAAGTTATCTTATTTTTAATAAAGATTATGAGAGTTTTTTTTTTCTTCATTTTTTTATGCTTTAAGGTGGAAGTTAACAAAAACAATTAAGGAGTAACCGTTTTGAGGGTTGTGAAAAGTAATACGAAGTAAACTTAACTTTTTTATTACTCCGTATTATACTTAAGGAAATTAGCAACATTGGAATTTATGAAAGATTATTACAGAAACTGAAGATTAAGGACTTGGAGAATTTTGGTGAAAAGTGGTTGAAAAAGTGATCATTTTATTTTTATACAAGTACAACGTATACGATTATTATTATTGTTATTATTTTATCAATTTTATGGGTATCAATGCGTTTCATGTGGAATGACATAGCCATATTGCTAACAAGTAGACAATTTAACTACTCCCACTTAGAGGTGTCAATTCAGATTATCGGATAGAGTTTATGTCGGGTCTATTCGGGTCAGGTCTGTTCGAATCGGATATGTTCGGGTCAAAATTATTCTTTTAACTCGGACCGGATCGGGTCGGGTCAAATTCGGGTCGGGTCAAATTCGAGTCATGGTCTATCGAGTCCAGGTCGGATATGGGTCGGGACAACTCCAAATCGGATCGGTTTATGTTTGGTTCGGATAAATTCGAATCGGGATCAAAACGGGTTTGACCGGGTTAATTTCCGGTCGGATGAATTTGGGTCGGGTTGATTTCGGTTCGGATGATTTCGGTTCGGTCAAGTTCGGTTTTATTAAGATAAGATTGATTCACTATTTGGTCAATTCCGATTCAAATCCTTTCCGTGGTTGGCTAGATTATGGTCGAGTTGACCAAATTCAATATCCAAATAAGGTCATTTTTAAACTAGAGTAATTATTGAATTTTTACCTTATTATTGGGTCGATATCGAGTCATTCATGTGTCATTTCTCATATTGCGTGGTTAATTATTACAAAATGCAAAGAATTAGTTTTCTCAATCAATCAATTCTCGTGTAATATTTATCTTGGAGCCAAATTCAAATTGAATAATTATCGATGACTTATCATACCTTCGTATATAAGTGAGACAAATAGTAATGAACTAGTGATAGATTGATAGATGATAGTCACATATGGTGATATACAATAATTGATAGATTAATAGATGATAGTCACATATGGTGATATACATAGATTGATACACAAATAATAATAATTGATGACTTAATCTCATGATGCTATGAGTACTATTAGTTTGTTTTATTACTAATTCAATTTGTATAAGATATTTGTTAGTGTTTTAGACTTTCTAACTTATCAATAATTAGTAAATTTGTAAATATATAGTAGTATAAGAACTTGAAAAAAAAGGTCAATAATAGGTTAGGTTTAAAATTATGGCCGGGTTAAAATCGAATCGGTTTAATTGGATCGGGTTAATATCAGTTCGGGTTAAAAATAAGTCGGATTAAATCGGTTATTTGTCGGGTCATTTTCGGATCGGGTTGTGTTCAAGCCGGGTCAAATCGGCTCGGTTTGAGTTCAAGTCGGGTCATATCTGGTTCGGGTTGAGTTCAAGTCGGGTCAAATCGGTGCCAGGTTAAGTTCAGATCGGGTTAATTTCGGATCAGATTAAGTTCAGGTCGGTTACAGATCGGATTTGGGTCCTGAATTTCTCGGATCAAATCGAATTGGTTACATTTCGAAACGGATAATTTTTTTTCGGATTGGTTCGATTTTGACACCTCTACTCTCACAATCCTCCGATTACATGTTGAAACCAATTAAATATATTTCGTATAACCTTTTTGTTTGTTCATAAAGTTTATTTTTTTTTTAATAAATAACAAATAAATAAATTTATAATCAAAGTTGTTGAATATAGGTTTTAATTCAAAAACTATGTCATTTCTGGATGAATGGATGTCATTTCTGGCTTAATTAGTGGCTTATGTGGTGAATTATATATACTTTATTATTAATTTTTTATATCAAATGAAATTATATGAAACATAATTACAAAATACATTCTGTTATCTGGTTTAAACATGGATCAAAGCATAAAAATTCAATCAAGATATCATTTTTTCGTTACCATGCATCTTAGTTTAGTTTAGGCTTACTCCATAATCTATCTAGTCAAATCCAAGGTGATGGTGTGCATTCAGTCGGTCAGTCAGATTTTATGTAAATAATGTCAAGCTTAATTGGTTAAAGAATTGAAGCTAGGTCTTGAGGAGGCCGGACTCGACCAGCTTATTTGATGGAGGCGGTTTAGCAGGATGTCTCACTGATGGTTCGGCAAACCAAGCCGAAGCCCGTCTCGCGGTCTAGCTTGTTTTCATGCCCTACGACGGGCAACTGCTCAACAGTGAAAACAAAGCGTCCTAATTTTGTTGGACATCACTCACTATTCTCTGGACTATTCAAGAAATAGGGAATGAATGCGTTTCAACTTTCAAACACTGCACGATTATAAACAAATGGTCGATGTTTCATCGTATTTATTCATTGTTAAGAGTCCCATGGTAAGTATTAACGAGTTAAAAAAAAAAAAAAAAAAAGATAATTTTTCCACTAGTGGTAGTGAATTTGTAGGAGCCATATGAATTGGCCTGGTGCCATGGTTGAAGCAGTTATGAATGAGCTCTACGCCTCTACCTTCCAATTTTAACGATAGACTTAGGGTTGTTAGTTACATAGACTATAAAAATAGACTTGTTAAAATCGGAAGGTACTTAATTAATTATTTGATATCAAAGTTTCATCTAAAATCTACTTGAAATTACAATAATTTGATTTGACCTAACCAAAAGATCATAATAATTACAATATCAACAACAAAATCGCCCAAGTTGAATTACAGTACAAACCAACTTATTAATCAAATAATATTGAGACATAATACACATCATATCATTTTAGATGCATCACTTTCGAAGTTTCAAATTAGATGCATCACTTTCATTTTTAGTTAATAAAATCTCTTTATCTCTCTCACATAGCCACATCACGTGGATCCTCAATTTTCTTTCTCTCTATCTCTCTCATCTCCAAAAACTGTCTAGGAGTCTGTGTTTTTATAAATAATGCATCTACAAAAAACGGAGGAAGTCTCAACTTTAAGAAAAGTTACTCAAATTAAAACATTACCAAAAGGAGAAACATGTGTGTAAGATTATCATACCACCATAATAAGATTACTTTTCTTGCTAAGTTAGTGTCGTTTGGAGTTGAATAAGTTTGAGTCAATCATTGTCCTACGGAGATTTCTCCCTATGTACTCTCGGACTTTTTGTCCATTAATTAATCAATGCACTAGCTTGGCGTTTTTCTAAAAGAAAAAATGATAACTTTTGTAGATGACTCTCTCTCCCTTGGGCCGGTCTTATGATACGAGTAATATATAAGATGTTAGTTTTTAAGAATTTATTAAATTTTAAGACAGATTAAGGAAAAAAAAGACTTTTTTCGTAATTGTGCACACAATTACAATACACAATTACAATGCACAGTTGCTCAAATTGTATTTGATAATTTTATATTTTTACAGCATGTAACTCACATAATTAAGTTTTGTTCACACTAAAGCTCCGATCCGATGATAACAATTATCCAACCTTGCAAATTATTGTACAATAGAAAGACAAATTTGTACCGATGTAACATAAATGAAACAAGAACCATACTATAGTACATTTCAAAATGAAATGTGACAATATATTGAGTAATTAATAGTGTAATACACATTGAGGAGAATCAGACTTAGTTGAGGGCGGCCGGGGTGGTGGTAAACTTGTAGGAGGCAAACGAAAGGGTACCGAGGCTCCAGCTGCGGTGTATGAGCTCCGCTTTCGTAGTTTCTCCGGCAGCACCCAAGGCTACATGCAATGGGTAGAAATGATCAGGTATTGGATGTGCCTTTCTTGCATTAGGCGCTTTTTGTAAGTAGTTATTCACATCTTCATGTCTGCAAGGTTTTTTGAAGAAGTGAAAATTATCACATGAACATTGGTAATTAACTAATTATTGAGTCAACATGAATTGACTTCCAAGTTGTACCCCTACCCCCCGTTCTTCTTCTTGTATTAGGACAGTTAAGAGAGTTAAACTCTCTATTGGTTTACCTGTAATCGAGCTAGTCTCCTTTTTCCACTTAGTTTAAAAAAAAATAAAAAAAAAATAATAAAAAAAAAACCTTCCAAGATATATATATTTATAAAAAAATAAATTTTTTTTATAAAAAAAAGAGAAAACATTTGAAAAGCAAAGACATGAATTTAAAATGCAACACATTTTCCAATCAATCAAGATGAATGAGCAAAAAATGATCCTTTAATCCGTCTAAAAATAATAGTCACACGTACTAGCCCAACTTCATAAGATAAAACTTTGATAAATACGTACAATTAAAGCATTAGGGTTATGAAGCCTAAAACAATAGTTACATACCTTCCACTGATCAAAGCTTCCTCAAGCCATTTATCAAACTCGCCGGCCCATGGAGCAACTTCTTGATCTTTAGCATCCCATTCGAAATCCCTCAAGTTATGCGTGGCGCTTCCAGAACCAATGATGAGAACACCTTCCTCCTTAAGAGGAGCCAATGCTCGTCCCATGTTGTAGTGGTACGCCGCATCCTTGGTCATTTGGATAGAGAGCTGACATATAGGAATGTTAGCTTCAGGGTACATGAGCTTTAGAGGCACCCATGCACCGTGATCAAGCCCTCGTTTCTTATCTATGCTCACATTCTTGATTCCGGAGGTTTTTAGAAGCTCTTGCACTCGCTCCGCCAGAGCTGGAGCACCAGGAGTTGGATACTTGAACTGTGAACCAGTAAAGACGCTAATATTATATATTATCCTTCTGTTCCATAAAAGTGTGTGTTGAACTTAACTTACTTTTACTAAACTGAAATGATCTTTACCAAATTAAACTTAAATCACCTTTGTAAAATATAATTTGAACAAGGTGAAGAGATGAGGGTCTAAATAATAAGTTACTGAAACAAGGTGATGAACTACATATATCTTAGTGCAGCTAGCTTGAAACTTTAAAAATTGCAAGCAAGTTCCTATATATCTACTATTGAATTTACTCTGTAGTAGTGATTACATTTAAAATTTTCCTTTTGATAGAGACAATAGTTACAACAGTCGTTTCACCAAATGCCACTGAATACTTAAAAAATTCACCAAATTCCATCACGTTTTCAAAATTCACCAAATGCCACTGAGATTTAGTACAATATCACCAAATGTCATTTCCGTTAGTTGACTGCATCACTCCACGTGTCAGTCACCTTCTGATTGGTCCGTGTTTTAAAAAATAAATATTTAAACAAAAATAAAAAAAAATGCCAAAAAAAACCAAAAATATTTAAAAATAATTATAAAAAAAACCACCAAATCCCCAGCCACCACCCCTTCCACCACCCTTACCGGCAGACCGCCCACCCCACCCTAAGCCCCTCCTTGCCGCCGAAGACCGAAGCCCCTGCCGCCGGTGACCCGCACCGGTAGGCGTGCCGGCGACCCCGCCCCTTCCTCATTCCCTATTCGTCATCTTTCCACCACCATTTAAAACCCACGTTCAAGCTCGAAAGCAAGAACACAACATGCTCATTTCTTCACCATTTTCTACAAAATTACTATCAAAATGCTCACAATCAAGAATGCAATAACATGGGACAAACAATTTCATCAAACAAGCATCACACGAGATCGAGAAAGCCCCAAATCGATTTTTCAAAGGGGGTTTTCGAATTTTTCACAAAATTGCATGAAATTCGACAATGAAGCAAGAATTATACATGAAAATACTTACATTGCAATGAGAATAAGAAATTTTTTTTTTTTTTTTTTTTTTTTTGGAAAAGAGACATATTATTGACATATTGTTATTATTATTATTATTATTATTATTATTATTATTAGTTTGAACAAAATTATTATTATTGTTATTATTATTATTATTATTATAGTTTCTTTTTACTTGCAATATTTTGATGACTTTTGCATGTTTTACGTCCTATGTTTTGACTACTTTTGAATCTTTGATGATTTAAACACTACTTAGTATGTAATTTGAATATATTTTAGTCGTATGAAATCTTGTTAAATTTGCCTTAATTTAAAGTTTGATAATGATGACAAATTATTAAATATTAATAATTAAATATATCAATATTTAAATAATGCATTGGCAATTATATGAAAAGGAGTGTCGCTAGTAAAGAGAAATGAAATAATATTATTTTACTAATTTTATGGGTTTCAATGCGTTTCATGTGATATGGAGTTATGGACTTTGCCAAATTAATTGATTACGAGTATACAACTTAACTACTCCCCCAATCTAAAATAAATAAATAAAAAAAAAAAATTATAATATACTTTAAAATTAAAGGATAATTAAAGTTGCTAACCTGCTTCCATAGCTAACAAAGATTTTGCCTCCATATAACCATTACACTTAGATATATAAACTTGTTCAAATTAAATTCAAAAATCAATCAATAACATAATACTAAAACAGACACCAGAAAGTTTTTTCCTTCCAAAACTTCTCCTCCCTCTTTTAGCAAAAATCTTTTATTTTTGAAATATTTGTATAATACAATTGCAATAATATATTATTCCTAATCTTATATATATCTTTATAATAATTTTATTCCTTTTTATTTCATTTTCGGAATGTGTTAGATAATGAAAATAGAATTTATTTCCCAATAGAATGGACATTACCAAATATAATTGCTAACAATAATTAAGTAGACAATTTAACTACTCCCCCAATCAAAAAGATATTGTATATAAAAAGATACACATAATTGCTAACTGCTTCAATTCCATTATTGCTAACAATAATTTTGCAACCATGCATGAATCCTAAGACTTTGAAACAAAATAATTCGATATCTTCGTTCATAAAATTATTTAATTCAAAAAATACGAACAAAAAAACAGTAGGGAACACTGTACTACTCTATCTCACATAGTGGCAACTTGCAAGGTGGGATAGTAGGAGTAATATGAATATATATGTTTGTTTAGATAAGTTTCCCCACTTTGGCTGATCTGAATTTTTTATTTTAATTTTAATTTTAATTTAAACCTTTTTTTTTTTAATATTTTTTTAAGAAGTAAGATATATGAGATTTATAGATAAAGAACATCTTCTCGCAAGACTGTGCCCTAATTTAGCTAAAAATAAAAAATAAGAAAACTTACTATCCATAAAAGGGTATATATCTTGGTGTGTCGGCTTTGGCTGATCTGAATTGATTAAATCTAAATATCTGATAATATAACTTGCTTTGTGTTTCGGGGTTTTTTGGAATCCCTCGGGATACTGGTCTTGAACACGGCCGGATGGACATGGACACCTGCAAAATAACAAATATTCCATTTGACGGAATATTCGCCTCCGACGATCAAGTTAGTGACCGTAAACAGAATAAATGTAGAGAGAAGTTGGAGCTTTTAGTGCTCTTAAAATGATATGTCATAATCCACCCCTCCCATCATAAATGATTGGGGTATTTAAAGGGGTGGGAAAGTGTGCCCTCTAAGGTTTGATAACCTAGGATGGCGTGCTCTGATTGGCGGCACAATCAGGTGAAGGCATGTATCCATATGGGGCGTCGTTTTGCGGCTTTCTCATCAGGAGGCCCTTTTCTCTCATTTTAGGTGCTCTTTATGCTTGACACGTGTCATCTTTCTACAGGGACACGTGTCGCCCGTTAATTATATTGGGTCATGTGTCACTATGGGATTGGACCACATGTTGGGGTATTTTTACCCTAAACAATTGCCCCTCAGAGGGGTTGACTCGTACCATATGGGCCGCCTCCTCTGATCTTTTACTCGTACGATGTCGTCCGAGTGTTAGGCGGATGGAGCATTATCATTGGTGGAAGACAGACGTACAAATAAAAATACATAACCAAAATCAATCCACTATTCTCACAAATTTCCAGTAGCTATTATATACTATAAACATCGCTAATTAACCCAATTTAATGTTTTTAAAGCCTTAAAACCTTTTCTTTAAGTGGGAACTTAAAATTCTTTCAAGAAGACTTAGTTTTCATAGCTTAAATAAAATTACAGCATACCTATTTAGTATAAAACATCACTAATAACCAGAAAATCATACTTCCTCCGTTCTTTTAATATCCATTACTTGCCTTTTAGGGAAGTTTCACAACATCACTTCCATTTTAGGACAAAAAAATATCATGTTCACACTACAGATACCCAACATACCCTTACTTTTTCACACTTACCTTTTATTTTATCTTCATATTACATGAACAATTTTGTATTTTTACGTTTCTCTCTCTTACCTATTCCCACTACCAAATTTTGCCTCCAAAACCCCTATGATGCAATAAAAAAAGAACGGGGGAAGTATTTAAGTTCATTAAAAACTTTTTCCCTTTTATGGGTAATCAAACCCTAACATAATAATAAAAAAGTAGTGTGTATAATTAAATTCCAACATTAATTGAGGGCTTAAAACTCATTAATTAAAAACATGTTCTAATCATTAATTTAACAACCACAATAACCTAGAATCAAACGTAACCCTAATCATAAACATTAAATTCCCAAATTCTAGGGTTTGTAAATTGGGGTTTTTAATCAAATTAAAATCTGAAAATTATAAGAATAAATTAACAACATCAACTACCCAAAATCCACATCAAAATATAATTAAATCATGCTTTGAATAATTAAAACAAGCTTAGGAATTAAAATACGAGAAAGAGTTTTTTTTTAAATACCGAACTGCAAGGAGAAGAGAAAGAAGAGGAGTGCACGGCCGCCGGTGGTGCGTCGTTGCTTCTGCTGGCCGCCAGTGGTCGGTGGTGGCGCTGGTGGTCGCCGGTTATGAGGAGGAGGAGAGAGGCGGGGAAAGGATGAGGGGAAAAAAAGAGAGAGAGAGAGAGAGAAACAAGAGAAAAAGCTTGGGTTTTTATGAAATATGATAATTGATTTTTGAATGTGAAATACCTGAGTTTTTTGGGTATTTATATCCTCTTTTAAAAACAAAATTATTTATTTACACAATTGTCATTACTAATCCTCTTCCTCTTTGAATTCTTCTTTGGGGTTAACTTGTTGGGCCCTTAAAACTCTTTTATTCCCAATAAATTAGTCCAATGCTTTGAGTGATATTGATCCAATTTGAAATTCTTTATTACCTTAATTAATAACTCATATTATTTTATACTCATCTATTTTATAATTTTATAATTATTTAATATAAAATGAAATGAATCATTATTTTAATTTATAAATAAAATGTATAATTTGTATATATAAAGTACTATAAAAATACGGAGTATTACAGATTCTCCATCTCTAATGGACCACGATTGCAGCAATTACGGTCGAAGATTACTGATTGTCGGCAGACCAGGTGCATGTCAATAGAAGACTATTACACCACACTCATGGGCTTGTTTGATGACCTCACGAGACTCAAGCCCCTTCATGGGTGTGAATGCGGGCAGTGCACGTGCAATGTTGCGGGTAAATTTTCCGCGGACAAGGAGGAGGAAGTGCTACACCAGTTCTTAATTGGTGTTGATGATGATTTGTATGCTATTGTGCGAACGAACCTTTTGTCACAACAGCCACACACTGATTTAAATCAAGCCTATCAAGCTCTTCTCCAAGAGGAAGAGTCGCGCGGCATTGCTCGAGGAAAGGTTGAGAAAGAGGCGGTGAAGGATGCTCAAGCATTTGCCGTCTCTGCTGTCCGCTCGAAGGGGATCCCGGATCGTCGGGATAAAGCAAAATTATTTTATTCATATTGCAAGAAAACAGGGCATGACAATGAGGGATGCTTTGTTTTCATGGTATCCGACTGGTGGTTCGAATTGAACGAAAGAAGGATATAACTGCTGGAGGTGCGAATTCAGCACGCTCATCCTCCAAGTCTACTGTCTCGTCCTATGATACGGGCTCGGGGAAGTCTGCAATCCGTGCCAATGCAGTGAGTGGGTTGGCTCCTTCGATAGTGACAGCTTTTGGGAGTGGAGAGAATATATTAGGTGATCTCAAACCCGAGGATATTCGGGTTTGGCTGAATATGGATACCCTCCATCAAAAAGAGCGTATGCAAGGTGAGATTTTGTCTTCTTGGATTCTTGATATGGGGGCTTCTCATCATATTACCGGTAATGAATCTTTCTTGGTGGTTGTTCGTTCGATTTTGCCATATCCCGTGGATCTTCCAAATGGAGATCAAGTAGTAGCTTTGAAAAAGGGTCGTGTTTTTTTGGCTGATGACATAATCTTGGAGCATGTTTAATTTGTTCCTAAATTACAACAACTTAATATCGATGTCTAAAATGATTGATTATTCACAATGTTTTGTACGATTCACGTACTGATTCTTTATGTGCTATACAGGACCAACGATCGGGGAGCCTGATTGGAGCCGGTGAACGGAAGGATGGACTCTACTACTTTCGGCGAACTCCTACAGTATGTGTGGTGCAAGTTCCTGCGGTGTCAGAATTTGAGTTGTGGCATAAAAGACTTGGGCATCTGTTGAATAGAGTGGTTAAGTTGCTTCGTGCTATTCATAGTAGTTCTATTAAGAAATTTTTTAATAAAGCTTGTGGTGTGTTAAACAATCTAGGCATAGCTTTCCTAATAGTGATAGTAAAGCTAGTCGTATTTTGAATTAATTCATTGTGATTTATGGGGGTCGTATAAAACTCAAACTACTTGTGGTGGACATAATTTCACTTCAAGAAAAAGGTCAATTTTCGATGGATGTGTTCCGACGGACACGAAAATCTTTCGGAAAAAACAAATATCCGATGGATTTAAATTCCGTCGGAAAATACTTAATTTCCGACCAATTTTCCGTCTAAAAAATAAATGATTTTTAACGGAGTTAAAATCCGTAGGAATTTCTGACGTTAAATTCTGTCGGAAATTTTCGACAGAATTTTAATGACTTTCGACGGAATTTCAATTAAAAAAAAGAAAAGAAAAGAAAACCCCTCAGAGCAGCCGCCCCCTATTCCCCTTCATATCACTTTCTCCTCTCCTCTCTTCTCCTTTTCCTTCCTCCAGCTCTTCTCCTCGTCATTTCTCTTCTTTTTCTCTGTTCTCGATCTTTTTCTTCTCTCTTCTTCTTCTCCTCATTTCTCCTATCTTCTCGATCTGTTTCTTCTCCTCCTTTTCTCTACTCTCTCATCCTCCGTCCCCGCCGGATGCCGCTCCCTCCACCGCCACGCCCACTGCCGCTTCGCTCTACCCTCTACGCCATTTTTTCTAAGGTTTTAAGGTCAATTTCGACCAAGAAAACTCTAGATCTAGAATTTTCTTAGTCAAATTTGACCTTATTAACCAAGTTTGAGGTGAAATTCAATTCGAACCAATTCAAATTTTGAGGTATGTTTTCGTGTTTCTAATTTTTTTTTAGCTTTGTA